GTTCTGTGGCAGGAAGGCTGGCGTGCTGATGGAGCCGCCGGGGGTTCCCAGCTCACAGCCTGGTTATCTCCTGAGCCTTGGCTGGAGCTGCGTCTGGGAGGAAGGGCAGATGCTGTACAGGCAGAGGCAGAAGTGCCTGAGTCCCTGCTCCCTGGGCAGGTGGAAGGCAGGAGGCTCCTCACAGTGGCCTGGCTCTTACCTAGGGTTGCCAGATGGTTTCAACAAAACTGCTGGACACACTCGCCATTCCCTCACAATCTGCATCCCAGCTGAGTTAGAAAATCCCCCCAGTTCTATTGTCTCAGTTTGGGTATGTCTACACTTGCAGCCTATTTTGGAATAGGGCTGAAAATGGAGGCATTCGGAATTGCAAAGCAAGCCCGGGATTTAAATATCCCGCGCTTGATTTGCATCTTCCCGGCTGGGCGCCATTTTTTGAAATTTATAAGCCTGGAATAACTGCCCACGTCTACTCGCGGCAGCGAAATGGGCATTTGAAATAAAGCCCTATTTCGAACTACCTGTTATTCCAATGAGGTTTAACAGGTAGTTCGAAATAGGACTTTATTTCGAATGCCCGTTTCGCTGCCGCGTGTAGATGCGGGCAGTTATTCCGGGCTTGTAAATTTCAAAAAATGGCACCCAGCCGGGAAGATGCAAATCAAGCGCGGGATATTTAAATCCCGGGCTTGCTTTGCAATTCCGAATGCCTCCATTTTCAGCCCTATTCCAAAATAGGCTGCAAGTGTAGACATACCCAAACTGAGACAATAGAACTGGGGGGATTTTCTAACTCAGCTGGGATGCAGATTGTGAGGGAATGGCGAGTGTGTCCAGCAGTTTTGTTGAAACCATCGGATCATCCGGTTCAAAACCAGACACCTGGAAACCCTACTCTTACCATGGCCTGGCCCGTGTCTTGGGGGAAGAGCAGGGTGGAGTCTCAGGATGGGAAGGGGGTGGGGTGGCCCTGGAGCCTTGGTGGGTTTGGAGCAGCAGCATGGGGAATTGGGACAAATGGCATCCCGGGGTCATTCAGCCTGGGACTGGGGCTTGAACTCTGCCCTGCAGCGTGCCTGCGGTAAGGCAGAGGGTGTGTCACTGGGGCAGGCCCTCCCCGCGTCATGGCTGCGCCCATGGGTCTCACCATTTATGTGGGGCTGAGTCCGGGCTGGGAGTGAGGGGTCGGGCCTGTAAGGCTCAGGGAAGGAGGACTCTACAGTCCTGCATAGGGTGCATGTGGCAAAGGGGTGATGAACCATCATGCTAAGCAGGGGGCAGGTGTCCCATGCATTAGACAGGCGCCGTTGGCTGCAGCTGTCCACAGAACAGATGTCTTCAGACAACTGCCCACCATGATTCCCCATCAGTTTCTTGAGTGGTAACAGCTAATTGAGCCCCCCTCCCCCCTTTGCACGCATGGGTTCCGACCTGCATCACTTTGCACTTTGCTACACTGAACTTCATCTGCCCTTGTGGCTTTTGTTGCCCGGTCACTCCATTTAGTGAGATCCCTTCGTAACACTCTGCACTCAGCTCAGACTCGATGCTGTGTCATCTGCAAACACTGCCACCCCCCTCTGACCCCGCTTTTCAGCTCGTTTGTGGACACTGCCCCAGTGAGGCCCTGTCTCAGCTCTGAAAACAGACCATCGCTTCCTAACGTTCATTGCCAGGTACTGAGCCAGGACAGGATCTGCCCTGCTCACTGTTCACCGTGTGCCCCAGACCCACTTTGTCCACACGGCCCCCAGAGCATGCTACCAGACAGCAGCCCAGGTTCCCTTTGCGTGTCTTCAGTTGCTGAGGCACCAGGTGAGCTCCCAAGGCTGGCACCCTGGCCACCTCCTCGGAGCCCGCCGCGGTGCACAGCTGCTGCCAGCCGTGCAGACGCTGAGGAGGAGGGCGTGCTCTGTGAGAATGCTTTTATCTCAGGGCTTGTGTGACGGACCGGGCCGTGTCTGGGCACAGCTGAGGGCGTCCGCTCAGGGTGAATTGCTCAAATCCGGGGCTCCTTACAGCCCCTGACTGGCGATCTCTCCAAACAGGCCACACACCAGTCCCACAGAGCGCTTCAGCTGCCTGCCTGAAGCCTCACAAGCAAAACCCCTCCGACACCCCAGAAATATCCGTGCCCCAGATGGCCCCGGGCCTATACACAGGTGGGGGGTCCTAGCACCCAATCCCACCTACCCCGAACAAGTCCTGTCCAGTTCCAAGAAACCAGCCACAGATCCCTGGTCAATTTACCCTCTGGACCTTACCCACAAATCATGCTGGGCCAATCCTTTAGAATCTATATCTAAAGGTTTATTATCACAAGAAAGAAAAGCCTCAGAGTAAGGTTGTTAAAGAATAGTACATTACATGCACCGAATCTCCCAGTCCTCGATGCAGGCTCTAGCAGAGATGTTACAGCTGCTGGTTTAAAAGTTCTTGTTGCACATCCTAGCATCAGGATGGGTTCACAGGTCTTCCGGGCTCTTCGATCCCTGCAATGCTGCCTCTGGGATGAAGTGCTGAGCTGAGAACCCAATGGCATCGACCACATGGCCTCTTTATACCTCCTTCCTGGCCTCTTCTAGTATGTAGCCGGTCACCTGGCCAGAGGCCAATCTCTGTGTTCCCTGCTGGCTGCTCTCAGGTGACAGCCCCCATTCTTTAGGTGTGTCCATAGCCCATTGAGAGCCATTGTCCCACAAGGCCTCGGTAATTAGCATGTCCACAGGCCTGGCCCTGCCCAATGCTTAACCACATGCAGGGAAATCTTCAGTGTCCATACAAGTACATGCTAATAATTGCACCCACAGACATTATACAAACACATGAACAGTGTACATAGGATTATCAGATAATAAGCTTCTATTCAATACCTCACATGGCCCCCTTCTATACCATTTTTGGGGCCAACACCCCCACCAATGGGTGCATCAGTGATCTGGCTGCTCCCCTCACGATCCAGCAACATGACAGCTTGTCTATCTTGTCAAGGTTTGTCACCCAAACCCCCTTTTTGGCCACCGCCGGCTGGTGAGCTTCCCCATTGCAATGTGACAAAAGTCGTGAAAAATGCCCAGTTTCGGTGACAAAAAAGTCCCCCTCCGCAAGGCCTTTTGTCTCCCCCTCCCTCTGCTGTGGCCAGTCATGCTGGATGTACGGCAGGAGGGCTCCTCCAGGGTGTTTCCCACAATGCCCGATTAGCCACTCTGGCCAGCGTGTCGAACTCCGCTGCTCGGCAGCCCCACAAACTGGTAAACAGAAAAGCCCCCCTCCCCCACAAGCCCCGGGAACCTTTGCCTGCTGGCGGGCTCAGCATGGCGGTGGCTGCCACTCAAGGCGCTGGGAGCTCCCCAGAGCGTTGGGATCCTGTCGGGGTGGGGCGAAGCATCAGAGCATCCCAGCTGCGAGTGGCCCATAGGAACAGGGACTCGCCCGCTCATGGCTGGAGCCGGGTGTGCAGGGGGCGGGGCAAGGTGCCCCGCAGTGCAGACCCAAGTGGAGGGGCTCTGGCCAGTGAACCAGAAAGCGAAGGAGGCAAACAGCCGGTCTGGTGCTGCACCCAAGCCCTGCCAGTTTTATAGAGCTGGGCGCAGCCCTGGGTGGGGACCCCATAACCACAGCCAAGGGCCCTGTGGGTACGTCCCCTGGCACCGGGCCAGCGACTCAGGACTCACCTTGGGGACAGACGCTTGAAGAAGAGGTGGAAGCGGACGAGGAGAGGGCCCCTGCAGCTGGGCCACCCATGTGGCAGGCAGCCAAGAATTGTTCTTAAGTGCCGAGGCTCACGGACACACCCAGCAACAGGGCATAGACTCAAAGCGAGGGAGGAAAAGTGCAGTGGGGAGGGGCTGGAGGGGACAGGATGGGGGTCAATGGGGAGGGGGCAGAACAGGGTTAGAAGGGAGGGGCTGGAGCAGTGGGAACAGGGCCAGATGGGAATGGGATGGGGATAAGAAGAGGCCGGGGGTGATATGGCAGGGAGACTGCAGGTGCAGATAGGTGCCAGTTTTTGGCTAGAGAAGTTGGCCACACGGACACTCACACAGACATGCAGACACACACATGGACACAGACTCACAAACACACGGACATATGGACACACACATGGATACACACACACACACACAGATACATGGACATGCACACGGATACACATGCACAAACACCCACACCCACACCCACACCCCTGGACAGCCCTCTGGCCACTCAGTCCAAACTCCTTAGGTGGGGCAGGAGGGCGGGGGTATGGTGAACCCCTCCTGACAGTTGTGGGAATTGAAGGGTGGGTTCACACCTACCCATCCCTGTGAGGTTTTAACCACCCAGGCAGCATTGCACCCAGCTCAGAACAACCCCCTGGATTAGTTCACCATTTGCTTGGATTCAAATCCAGTTCATAGTATTTGCCCATGAGAGCACCCTGCCCCCACCCATGCAGGATTCCTGGGACACACAGTGAGCCCCCGCCCTGCCGCATTCATGCCCCACAAGCCACATGCTGCATCACCCCTACGCCCACCGGCTTCACACGCCTGAGCCTCGAAGGGCCAGGGCCGGCCTTACCATGAGGTAAACTGAGGCAGCCGCCTCAGGTGCCAGACCATGGGGGGGCACTAGGACCCAGAGTGTAGCACACTGTGTCTGCTGCTGGTGCAGATGTAGGTAGCAGAGCAGTCCCAGGAGAGGAGGAGACCATGAAGGAGGCAGAATTGAGACTTTTCAAAGTTCTGGCCCAAGCGAGGGGCCTGGGGGCAACATTTGAGCTCCCCGCCTCAGGCGCTAAAACATTGGAGGGCCCTGGCCAGGGCTTTGTGCCCCAGTGTCGAGGCTGCTGGGGGCGGTGGAGGCCCTGAGCAGGAGGCAGGGCCCTAGCTGCAGTCACTTTTGCTGACTAGGACACTCCTGCGGCTGCAGAGCCCCGGCATGGGGCATGGGGCAAAAGAGGAACCAGGCGGGGAAGTGAAACTACGCAGCGGTTCCCACTGCTGACTGGACAGAACCAGCAGCCCCTGCTCCCTCCCTGCTGCCGTCTGCCACTGAGGCCAGACGACCCTGGGCCAGCCTCGGGGAGAGGTAAGTTCCCTGTCTTTGTGCTGGCAGCCTGTCCGGGGGGCTCCCGTCAGGCTCCCTGGCGTCTGCATTCGGGCTCCTCTGCTCTCCCACTGGCTCTCTGCCCCCTCGCCTGTCTGCCTGCTCCTCTGGGGCGGCTGGGGAGGGGGAGCCCCTCGGGCCCTGCTTGCCCTCTCCGGCGTGTCCCATCCCCCTTTGCTCTCAGCCCACAACTGTGCCTCTTGCCTGGCTGCTGCCTGGCACCCCAAGGGGCTGGTCCCAGGGCCAGTCTCGCAGTGCTGGAGAGCGGGCTCTTCTGGCAGGCTGCAGACCAGGAGGTCCCTGGGCAGGAGCCGGGTCCTGCGCTGGGCTCTGTGGCCGAGCTGGTCGCTCCTGGCTCTGGGCACACCCCAGAACCAGCTGCCACCGGGTGGGAGCGGGCTCTGAGTGTGGGAGGTGGCTCTGGCCAGGATGGGTCCTGGTGCTGATGGCCCCCTGAGCTTGTCTGAGAGGCTCCAGCCTTGTCGGGCTCTGGGGGAGGTGGGCGGGCGCGTGAGGAGAGATGATCCACCCAGGACGTCGCCCGCTGGGCTTGTGTGGCTGGTGCAGTGGGGTGGGCTGGCAGGTGCCTGTGAGCAGTGGGGAGTCTGGAGTCTGGCTGGTCAGTCTGGGGGCTGCTCACCCCTTGGTTGCTGCTGATGTCTAGTGAACCCCTGGGTAACGGTCCAGCCCGGACCCTTTCAGGTAGGGTTTGTGGGCTCCCAGCATGCACTTGGAACTCCCCATAACCAAGCACAACGCCAGGGACATCAAACTCCACAGGACTGGTGTTCCTAAGGCACAGCCCAGCAGAGACACCCCCCGCCCCGAATCAGTCCCTCCCCCGAGCTCCTAGAATGGCCCCTTGGGGCAGGGAAGGGTTTCGACACTTGGCTCTGTCCAGAGCTGCGACGGTCCCTCTCCAGCTCTCTGTCGGCTAGGAGGCAGCCCCGGCCCCGCTCACGGCCCTGGAGGTAAGGCCAGCCGGCTGCTTCCTCCTTCTGCTCCCCATTCCCTGTCCCCATCACCAGTGCACTAGGCCAGGAGAACGGCTGTCTCCCCAGTGCCACAGGAAAACAAACATTATTCAGACAGATGCCGGGGATACTTGGAAACTGGGCCCTTGGTGAATCCCACGCAAGGCAGAGGGACAGCAGCCGGGGAAGGGGGAACGTGGCTCTTGTCACCCTGCTGCTGTGTGCGGGGCTGTCTGTGCATGGGGGTGAGTCTGTGAGGGGACCTTGAGTGTGGATGAGTCAGTGGGCGCCCCCACCCTGCTCGTGTGTGTGTGGGACTGAGGGGCACCAGCCACCCCCCCCCAGGGTCATGCGGTGGGGGTCAGAGGTACCGATGTAAGCCAAATCCGCAAATATCAGCATCGTCCAGGTAAAAAGTTGGGGCACCTGAGAGAAACAGAGAGAGAGCGTGCGCATGCACATGTGTGCATGTGTGTGCGTGGATATGAGTGCACGTGTCCATGTGTGTGTGCGTGTGTGCACGTGGATGAGTGTGCATGGGTGCACGTGTCCATGTGTGTGTATGTGTGTGCGCGTGTGTGCGCGTGGATGAGTGTGCATGGGCGCACGTGTCCATGAGTGTGTATATATGTGTGTTCGTGTGTGCGCATGGATGAGTGTGCATGGGCACACGTGTCCATGAGTGTGTATATGTGTGTGTGCGTGTGTGCGCGTGGATGAGTGTGCATGGGCGCACGTGTCCATGAGTGTGTATATGTGTGTGCGCGTGTGTGCGCATGGATGAGTGTGCATGGGTGCACGTGTCCATGTGTGTGTATATGTGTGTGTGCGTGTGTGCGCGTGGATGAGTGTGCATGGGCGCACGTGTCCATGAGTGTGTATATGTGTGTGCGCGTGTGTGCGCGTGGATGAGTGTGCATGGGTGCACGTGTCCATGAGTGTGTGTGCGTATGCTTCTGTGTGCATGGGTGCATGTGTATGTGCGTGTAGTCAGGCGATGGCCCCTTCCCCATCCCAGCAGGGATCGGGAGGGCCGTGGCCCTTGTCCTGTTCTGCTGGGGCTGACTCCCCAGCAGGAGGGCCGTGTGGGATGTCCCGTCCATGGCTCACACGTGGGGCTCCTGTGCTTGCAGCATCAGCATGGCAGGTGGATTCTGGCTGGCAGCCGGCGCCCTGACGGTGATCCTGGGCACAGTGGCCCCTCAGCAGGACGTGTGCCGCGCTCCAGACGGCAAAGACGGCTACCCCGGAGTGCTGGGGCTCAACGGGAGGCCAGGGCAGAAAGGGGACAGGGGCGAGCCAGGTACAGTGGGAGAGGGGAGCTGGGCCCGCAGGGAGCGCTGGAGGGTGCTGGGCATCGGCTCCAGGGCATCGGCTCCAGCCCAGCCCTGCTGGGTGCCCAGAGCCCCGCACCCTGGGGTGTGGGCTCAGTCCAGTTGCCAGCTGGCAGGAGGCCATGTCACATGACCTGTATGTGGCCGTCTGACCAGGCCTCTCCTTGCAGTGAGACCCGTGGGCCCTAGCCCAGGGAGCCCTGCCTGGTCCCTTCCCAGAGTGCCCCCTGGCATGAGCACTGGCCCGAGGCCCTGGAGCTGCCCCACGGTTTCCTGCTCAGGCCGGGCTGCGGCAGGAACTCTCTGGCCTGGGCTCCGTGGCAGCTGCCTTGGC